AGGAAGGAAGGAAGGAAGGAAGGAAGGAAGGAAGGAAAAAAATGTAACCAAGACTTTCTTGCAGAATGTTCTCTTAGTTCTCTAGCCTACAGCCCAAACATTTCCCGTGCTTCTCCTTCCAAGTGCTAAGGAGGCCTGATCCTGCTTCTGAGCCCAAGGAAAGTCAACAAGATAGTCCTGCTACAGCAGATCCACTACCAGGGGTCTAAAACTAGACAAACTAGAGGTCCAGCCAAACAATCTCTCTGCTCAGGCTGCTTCCCTGGTGGAGAGACCGGGATAGCTGGATGAGTAAAATGCATGAATGGGAAAAAAAATGAGCAAGGAAGGGGGGAATCTGAGATAGGCCACTGGTTGACTTGCTGAGGACCGCCGTAGTTCTGGCCCCTGGTTTCTGTACTCGCATCTTTACTTTCTATATGGTCCACCAGACTATTCTTTCTGTGTCCTGTTTTTGGAACGGTGTTCTCTTTCTGTTATTTCCTCTGCTTTTGCTTTGCTTCTCCTTGCTTTTCCTTTCAGCACCGAGTCTCCAGCATCCTGGATGCCCATCTTGTCTTAGTCCTTTCGGATGGGGTGGTTGTTGAGTGTGACTCAGCTGCCAATCTGCTCCTCGAGGCGGATGGCCTCTTCACCACTTTGGTGAAGACCAACAAATAGTTGCTCCGGCTCAGGATTCCTGCACGATTTCTGGCTTTCTGGTACTGCTGTTTTAGTTTTTTTGTTTTTGTTTTTCTTCTTTCTGCTTCTTCTCTCTGTCCAGCTTCCAAGAGTTTATTCTTGATCTTAGTTTGGCTTGGCACCTTCTGGGTTTTTCTAACCATGCCAAGGTCAAGGATTGAAAAGGGAAGATTTGTTTCATCGCACTGGGGGAAAAAAAACTGCATGCAAGTGTGTTCTTGATTTACTCTTCACCAACAACCTTGAACAATTCTGGACCTGATAATTTCAGGAAAAGAAGAGATTAAAAAAAATTAAACTCTCCTTCAAGTCTAACTCTACTCCTAGTGATGTCATTGAGATTTTCTTGTGAGGTTTCTGGGCAGAAATATAGAATGGGAGTAGAATTGGATAGAATACTTTATTTCAGTGGTTCTCAACCTTTTTAATGCCGTGACCCCAACCGGTCGTAAGTCGAGGACTAAACCGGTCGTAAGTTGAGGACTACCAACCGGTCGTAAGTCGAGGACTTTCCCTGCCCGGGAGCACCGTGCATGCGTGGTTCCGCCCCCTGCGCCGGCCAAGGCATAGCTGGCAAGCGGCAGAGACGGAGCAGGCCGACCACCAGCTGGCCCAGCCCAAGGGAGGTAAGGCACCCACTGGAAAAGGGGGAAAAAAATGGCGGACAAAAAAAATGGTGGACAGCCTTGCTTGGTGACCCCCATGAAATGGTCGATCGACCCCAAATGGGGTCCCGACCCACAGGTTGAGAACCACTGCTTTATTTGAACAATCGTGATTAGATACACAAGGAATTTACTTCCAAATCTACTCTATGCCCTGTTGATCTTTGAGTCAGATACTAGCCAAGCCCAAATCTGGTTATCTCCCAGACAAATGAGACAGGGACGCCCCATATGAGGTGCCATATAATTTTTTCACCCATCCAGACTTTTATGATCAGCAACTTCTCAGCCTTGATTGTCTTCAGATTAATATGGGATAGAGAGTAACTTAGGCTTTCGAGATTCTTTTATTACACCCAACAATAGCCAGTTTGGTGTAGTGGTTAAGGTGCTGGCCTAGAAGCCAGGAGACTGTGAGTTCTAGTCCCATCTTAGGAATGAAAGCCTCTGGGTGACTTTGGACCAATCACAGGAGGTGGTGAGTTCTAGTCCTGCCTTAGCCATGAAAGGCAGCTGGATGACTCTGGGCCAGTCATTCTCAGCCTGATTCACCTCACAGGGTTGTTGTGGGGGAAATTAATAATAATAATAATAATAATAATAATAATAATAAAGTTGGAATGGACCTTGGAGGTCATCGAGTCCAACCCCCTGCTCAGGCAGGAAACCCTACACCAGTGATGGCGAACCTTTTAGAGACCGAGTGCCCAAACTGCAACCCAAAACCCATTTATGCATCGTTGGGTGCCGGGTAGGTGTAGCCATTAGGTGGGTGTGGCCCATTGGGTGGGTGTGGCTGCGGTGGTAACGGAAAACTAGGTGGAACTAAAAAGTTCAATCAATTTCAACGTTGCAAGATCTTTTTTTTCCCGCAAGAAGTTGAAATTGACTGATTGATTGAACCTTTTTTTTTTGCACACGGCGGTGGAGGCCTAAAACGAAAAGGTTTTATAAAACCCAGCTGAAGGCCTAGGACTGGGGCGACAGCGCGCGTGCCCACAGAGAGAGCTCTGAGTGCCGCCTCTGGCACCCGTGCCACCACTGCCCTACACCATTTTGGACAACTGGCTGATTAATGTAATAAAGGCAGGATGAATGAATGAATGAATGAATGAATGAATGAATGAATGAATGAATGAATGAACGAATAAACAAACAAACAAACAAATAAATGGAATAGCAGACTTCTAGTGGGCCTTATGATATCTGTTTCCTGACCTGGCCTACTGAAAGGCTAAGTTAAAAAAACAAATAACACACACGTATATATTTTTTTAAATTGCAGCATCGAGTCCACACCATCCTAACTGCAGACGTGGTTATTGTGATGAAACGAGGGATCATTTTGGAAAACGACACGCCTGAGAATCTGCTAGCCCAAGAAGATAGCATCTTCGCCTCTTTTGTTCGGGCTGACAATTGAAAAAGCCACAAGGTTGCATGCAGTTGGCTTTTCCAATGCTGATTTTAAATAATAATAATAATAATAATAATAATAATAATAATAATAATAATAATAATAATAACGAAAGAAGGAAGTGCCTCCCCTCTCCCCCTTTATATATAATTTATTATCACTGGATTTTTCCATTTGTAATTTTTATAAAAACCCAAGTGCATGATGTAAGTCTCAAAGCAATAAATTCTTCACCAAAGGCTAGAGAAACCCTTTTGTATGTTTCTTCAATAGATCTCGTAAGACCAGGATGAGCATTTCATATCTCAAAAAAAAAAAAAAGACTCTTTAAAAGGTTTTCCAATTTGGCAAACCGAAGAACTTACTAGTAGCAGAATTCCTAGACAAAGGGGGGGGAAAATGTCTGAGCACTTTTTTTTTTCCTGGAAGAGAAAAAAAATAAAGGGACTGAGGCCATCCAGGAAAACCTGATTGCTAAATTGTTTTTACTGGAAGGGTTACATGAGTGCAGCTAGACTTTTCTAGGCTGAAGACCTGTTATCCCTGGGACTTTAATAAATAAACATCCTAAGACTGCATCTTTATTCAAAATCAAGAGATCCCCATTTAGGTGGCACAGTGGTAAACTAATTTTTGCTGAATTTGTATCTTTTGCCCTTGGGAATGCTCTGAAGCGCCTAACTCTTAAAAGAAATGTAGTAATGAACTGAATTATCGAATAAAATAGCAACAAGGTTTTAAAAAGGATCCTGTTTGTTGTCTTCTTTAGAGTCTGGCTCTGCTTATTTTATCAGCGCAGCTCAAGGAACTGTCAGAGAAGAGAAATCCTAGCTTTGAGCCTTTTTAAGAAGGTCCCAACGGGTCAGATAATTGTGCTAGTTCTTCCAAAGCACTTGAAATCCTTAATTGAAATGGTTTTCATCCAAGGCAGGAAAACTATGGAAATGAGTTGCCAGGAATTATTTCTAATTTTTTAGATTTCTCCAGAGTTTAGAACAAAAAACAATCAGGAAAATACAGGTGGTCCTGAACCTCACTTAGGAACCATTCAGAATTACAAGGGCACTGAAAAAAGTGACTTTTGACCAGTACTCACCACCATCACAGCATCTCCACAGTCACGTGATCAAAATTTGGGCACTTGGCAACTGTCATATGTTTACAACAGTTGCAGCATCCTAGGGAGATGTGGTCACCGTTTGTGACATTCCCAGCAAAGTCAATGAGGGAAGGTGGATTTACTTAGCAACTGCAGTGATTCGTTTAGCATCCATGGCAAAAAAAAAGATGGGGCATGACTCACTTAGCAGCTGCCTTGCTTAGCAACGGAAATTAATACCACTCTACAATGCCTTGGTAAGGCCACACTTGGAATCTTGCATCCAGTTTTGGACACCACGATGTAAAAAAGATGTTGAGACTCTAGAAAGAGTGCAGAGAAGAGCAACAAAGATGATCAGGGGACTGGAGGCTAAAACATATAAGGAGTGGTTGCTGGAATTGGGTATGTCTAGTTTAATGAAGAGAAGGACGAGGGGGGACATGATAGCAGTCTTCCAATATCTCAGGGGCTGCCCCAAAGAAGAGGGAGTCAAGCTGTTCTCCAAAGCACCGGAAGGCCGGACAAGAAGCAACGGATGGAAACTCATCAAGGAGAGAAGCAACCTAGAACTAAGGAGAAACTTCCTGACAGGGAGAACAATTAACCAGTGGAACAACCTGCCTCCAGAAGCGGTGAATGCTCCAATACTGGAAGTTTTTAAGAAGAGACTGGACAGCCATTTGTCCGAAATGGTGTAGGGTTTCCTGCCTGAGCAGGGGGTTGGACTAGATGATCTCCAAGGTCCCTTCCAACTTTATCATCATCATTATTATTATTATTATTATTATTATTATTATTATTATTATTATTATTATTATTATTATTATTATTATTATTGCAACTAAATTTCATTTTTGATGTGTGCCGTTGGGCCCACAGTAAAACAAAATGACAATAAAGGTTATCTTATCTTAAAAGCAGGTTGGAAAAGATGGCGTTGGCTTCTAAGTCCCAGAGGCCTGCTAGATTCACTTGAAGGGGCAGCTGGACAAAGAACTGTCCTATTCTGGGGTTTCCAAAGGCTGTGATATAATCTCAAAAACCACAAGTGGAAAGCAAAAGTTTTATATGTAAAAAAAAAAAGCTGCTCCTTTGGGATGAAGCGAAAGCAGCCAGATTTTTGCAGTCCCCTTGGGGAAACACCAGCTTCCTATCTGAAGTTGAAAACGGGACTTGCCCAGCTCGTTCCTAAACTGTCAACAGTGAATTCCTACTAACTTTTTTCCTAGCAGCTGGAGTCCCTTTGCTAAAATGTAGTGCTTCCCCCCCCCTCCTTGTTCTCTTCAGGGCAATCAATTCAGATTAGAACTTGTGACAGAATTCTTAACTCTGACCGACTGAAAACAGCTGCAGGGCTTAGTCCGAATCAATGGAAGAGCAAAAGAGCAAAGACTCAAGGCAAAGTCTTGGCTGCTGTTACCAGGGTACATGTTTATCTTTCCAACTATGGCTGGTAAGCACAGCATTGGCCAAGTGAGGCTTGGTTGAGATCCAGAAGGGAAAGACTCTTCCCCGTCATCCCCTCTCTACTCCCTAAGCAGGAAAGGGGTGGGGGGAATCAAAATTTGATCTTATGCAACTGGCAAAACAGAAGGCTTGGGACAATCCTGAGAAGGAATTGATAATAATAATGATAATAACAACATGTTAGAAGGGACCTTGGAGGTCATCTAGTCCAACCCTCTGCTCAGGCAGGAAACCCTATACCAGTGGTGGCGAACCTATGGCACGTGTGCCAGAGGTGGCACTCAGAGCCCTCTCTGTGGGCACACGTGCCATGCCCCGGAGATGGCGAGGGAATGGCCCCTGCCGTCCTGGCCCTGCCCACCCAGTCTGCCATGACCACCGCGGCCACGCCCACCTGGCATCCGGTGATAAATAAATGGGTTTTGGGTTGCAATTTGGGCACTGGGTCTCTAAAAGGTTCGCCATCACTGCCCTGTACCATTTCAGACAAATGGCTGTCCAGTCTCTTCTTAAAAACTTCCAGTGTTGGAGCATTCACCGCTTCTGGAGGCAGGTTGTTCCACTGGTTCATTGTTCTAACTGTCAGGAAGTTTCTCCTTAGTTCCAGGTTGCTTCTCTCCTTGGTTAGTTTCCACCCGTTGCTTCTTGTCCTGCCTTCAGGTGCTTTGGAGAATAGCTTGACTCCCTCTTCTTTGGGGCAGCCCCTGAGATATTGGAACACTGCTATCATGTCCCCCCTCGTCCTTCTCTTCATTAAACTAGACATACCCAATTCCAGCAACCGTTCCTCATATGTTTTAGCCTCCAGTCCCCTAATCATCTTTGTTGCTCTTCTCTGTACTCTCTCCAGAGTCTCAGCATCTTTGTTTTTGAGAATGTCCATGACACATTCTCAAATTCCAAATGCATCTGATCCCCCATTTGAGGGGGGGGGATGAAGGTCCCTAGACCCTGATGTTGGGAAAGATTGAAGGCAAAAGGAGAAGGGGACACAGAAGATGAGATGGTTGGATAGTGTCATCGACACAATGAACATGAATTTGGGCAAAATCTGGGAGACAGATTTTTTTAAAAAATTTCTCTTGGGGAGGGCCTGTCCCAGCCCAAGATTTGCCCAAAGCTGTGGTGATTCCAGCTGTTTTCTGCACAGGGGATACTGGTTTATCTTGGTGACCCTTAGCTGGGTCTGAATCTTTAAGCAGGCTGGACTCATGTAGCACACTAAACTTTACAATTATTTGATTCTGGGGTGGGATGCAGGTCTTCAGTGTTATGGTAATCCAGCCCGTTTCATTACTTCTTTTTACTCTTTTTTAAAGAATATTACCTTTGAAATCTTGGTTTGTTGGTTTATAATTCCCCTATATTGTCTGAACCCTTAAAAAAAACAAACTGCCAAACAGCTTAAGGGTATTGTATGAATGCCAGTCCTTTTCCCCCCCTCCTAATGTTATGTAGCCACCATGGTTAACTTATACTTCAGTGTCTGGTTTGGAATTGGGTTCACTGAACAGACCATGATTGAGTTAACTTACATTTCCAACCCTCAAATCAGATGGGTTGAAGTCGGTAGCAGAAGCCCTTTCTAACTTCCCAAAGTGCCTTACATTCTCAAAGTAACCCACGTGACAAATTAAGCAACAATTTGCCTCTCTCTCAATTAATTACAGATGGAAAGTTAGCAAAATATTTTGGTCTACCTTTGATCTAATGCTTCCCCCCCCCTCCCTTTCTCTCTGCTGAAAAAGATGCGTCAGAGACAGAAGTATACGTGACAGGCATCACTGGAAAAGGAAAACCAGGCTAATCAGCACTTAGCAAAACTTTGACATTTTCCCACTGCCTGGAAGGGATGAAGTGTTTTAATTCTGGCATCCGGCGTCTTCCATTTAATGGAAATTTACATTCCTGCAAATCTAATTCCATTATTCCTCATTCTATCTATCTACATTGTATCTATCTATCATATGCAAAAGAAAATAGCTAGATAGCTAGATAGAGATGATAGATGGATAGATAGATGATAGATATAGATGATAGATGATATGGATATATGATAGAGATAGATTAGATAGATAGATAGATAGATAGATAGATAGATAGATAGATAGATAGATAGATAGATAGATAGATANAGTTTCTTAGGGGATGAACTCTCTCCTCCAGTGCTTTCTGGATCTCTTTTCTCCGTCTGGGGCTCTCCCCCTCCCCAATTCCTCCTCGCCTTTTCGTGGCGTCAGATGGATTTTTGGACTCCGGCCAGCCTCCCTCCCTCTGACCATCCCCAATCTCTCTCTCTCTCTCTCTCTCTCTCTCTCTCTCTC